GCAACCAGCACCTCTAGCGGCCTCCCTCCCCCAGGGTGCCCTTCGCTGGCGGCCAAAGGAATCCCCCTCCCGTCCGCACTGCCCCCTGAATCTCCTCCCTCGTGCAAGGCTACAGGCCCAGCCTCTGCTTGCCTGTAGGAGTCCAGCTCCCGGCCACCTCCCTTCCTCCCCCATCTTCCGAGGGACGCACGTTTTCAAGAGCTGGCGACTTTTCACTGGGCTCCTCTCTCCCCCCGAGGCGGCGGCGGTCGAGGCGATGGCGGCATCTTTCCCTGAAGGCCGCCACTGCATAGTCAGTCCTCATGCGCCTCCCCCCTTGCCGCCCCACGCGCTCCAGGCCGTTGGGTTGACGCGAGGTCCATGTCCTCCCCACACGCTCCATGCCTCATTCTGTTGCCGCACCTAGCTCTCTCGCTGAAGGCCTCCATCGATTTCCTTTTTCTTTCCTTTATTGTTTTCTGCAACAGAAACACTCTTAATTCCATAGGCTCCCATTTTTGCAAGCATTTCCAATAATGTACGGTGCTGTCTCTGCAAGGTAAGGACGCAGGTCCCAGAGCTGGCCTCCGCTCGCCGGCCAACGCAGTGCCCATCCCCGGGAAGGGGGGGCAGGGTGAGTGGAAGGGGGACAACCCCACGCTCTCCCTCGCTCTCCCTCGCTCCCAGAGCGGTAGCATGCAGCGTGTGCGCTCCACAGCCGAAGCAGAGCGCCCGCCGGGCCCTGTCGTCCCCCACCCCTGCTAGCGACATGCGTGGTTGGGGCCACGTGTATGGGCCACCAGGGAGTACGGAGGGGGCGGGGCTCTGCCACCAAGCCACACGCCTCTTTCTCCGTCAGCAGACCGCGGTGCCTGTGCAAGTTTGTACGCACGCTCAGCTGCGAGGGTGCAACCAACCATGCTCACGCTGGCCGTACCAAAGCCTTCCAATGGGAATCTGATTCCCTCCTGAGCGCCTCACACACCTACTTTAACTCCGCCTCCGGGCAACCGCGTGTACCGCCTCTGCTGTCACTGCGTGGGGGGAGCAGGGCCGCCCGGGCCCTTCAGTAGGGGGGTGCACAGCAGCGGGAACGCTGCCGGACGGCCCCTTCAGCGCGCTAACCATCTGCCCACCCTTCCCTCTGCCTCTCGCAGGGTCCACTCACATCCTCACCCCGCAGAAACTCCTGGACACGCTGAAGAAACTGAATAAAACAGAGGAAGAAACCAGCAGTTAAAACCAAGCGAGCGAAACGACAACTCCGCCTTCCTGGCTCACGGTGGCCCACGCTGGGGCTGCCCCGCTAAACGTTACTTTGCTGAACCATGGCACCATCTCCCGCCCCCCGCCCTCTCGCTTGCTCCCTGGGCTTGTGGTTGAAAATCTGCCCTTCCCTTTGCCCCTCCTTTTACGCAAATGAGGGTGAGTGGGCGGTGGGGCAACCGGACACAAAATGCATTGCATTTAAAGAATAAACTAAAGGAAAAAAATATGTATCCTCTATGCATCCAAAAAACAAACAAAAAAACCCCAACCCCAACCCAAACGCATTTTCAACTAACCCATTGCTAGAAAAAAAAATGTCCAAGTGTTTGTTCAGGCTGGATGGAGGCGCACAAATTATTTATAGCTATGTGAGCTTGAACCTATCCCAGATGCAACCACAACTGGTCCATGTGAGAATTTGCTCAGCTATGGACTTGGGAGAGTTCTCTGCTGCTGTCATTGGGGTTTTCTTCCTCCGTGTTTGGATGCGTGTGTATGTGATTCTGAAATGCATCGTTGGGGTTTTCTTTTTTTGTGTCGTGGAAAAAAATATGTTCAGTTGGGGGGCTACTCATGATTCCAGCACACCTGGCTCCAGCTCTCCCGAGACATCCTCTGCTGCTGGCAGATGCTGCCTAACCCTGTCCCTCCTACCCCAGCTGGGTTCAGGTGAGCACATCTGGCCAAACCAATCCGATTGCGGTTGGAGGGCTGCCCTCTCACTTTGTATATGTAAGCAGGGCTTTTGAGATGAGCCAATCAGGACTTTGGGAGGTGGGATTCGAGTTGCATTTACCAATCAGCTCATGGTAGCCTGACTCTGAGGCTCCGTCTACACTGTGTGTTTTTTTCCGACAGACGATATGCAAATATAGCGCTCATTTGCATATCTTGCACTCTTATTTGCATATCCTCCTCTGATCCTTTTTTGCAAAAGTGGTTTTTGCGATAAAAAGCCCCATGTAGACGGGGCCATTTGTTGGAAAACACCCTTTTTGTGCAAGAGCCCTTATTCCTCAAAAAAATGAGGTTTACAGGAGCTTGTGCAAAAGGGGGTTTTCCTGACAAATGCCCCCTCTACACAGGGCTTTTTATCGCAAAAACCTCTTCCTCAAAAAGGATCGGAATGAGAGTGCAATATATGCAAATGAGCACCCCATTTGCATACCTTCTGCTGAAAAAACCACGCCGTATAGACATAGCCTGAGGGTGGCCAAAGCCTGATGTCTGGGAGGACGGCATGAAAGCCCCATGGTGCCGTTAGCTAATTGTGGGTGGGCTGGGGGCAGGAGAGGGGCAATGGCTGAGCTCCATTCAGTGACTGGGCTGTCATGACCGGAAACCAGCCCCATCCCAGTTATGAGCTGGGATGCTAGCGCCAGTCTGCAGACAGAGAAGGTTTTAGCTCAAGCGCTCCCCACAAAACAGCGCCCCCTAGAGGCAGAGCCCAGACCTGCTGGTACCCAGATGTTTCTGCTATTTAGAGATGCACAATATTGCAGCTCCATCCAAATCTTTTCTCCAGCGGTTCCGCTCTTTTCTGCCTCAGTCTATTATTTTCCTTAAAGAAAATAATATCGACTGATATATACAGAGGAATTTTTTTTTAGACCTGCGGGGCAAAAAAGCCTCTCTCTGCTTGCAAAACTATTAATTACCCCCAAGGCCCTGTGTGTCTCAGTATCGAAATTAAGTTTAAAAAAAAAGTACTAAAAAAAAATAATCTAAAGGCCGTCATTTCCTTGGGTTCGTCTGGAGGTCTCTCCTGCACTGCTCTGAGTAGCGCCGCCCCCGTTTGTTTCTGCTGTTGTCGTCCAGTAGTGAAATGTTGATGACTGTGGAAATCGCCAACACTCCTAACCGGGCCTCCTCCCGTCCCTCTTTCACGGCAGACTGTGTGTATATTAGTTAAGGTGTCTTGTGATGTTCTTACGAGCTTGGCGTATAGTGGTTGAACTAGACCTTGTTACTTTTCTTTAAATTATTTCCTTTCTCCCGCCACCTCTGGCGTTAGCTGCATTGCGATAGTTTAGGGGTTCTTCCCCCCCAAGGAACTGGACTCCTTGCCCGCCTCTCACCCTGGCCTTCCCAAATAGATCTCTCTGTTTTATAGGTGTTTCGATTTTTTTCCTTGTCACTCCCCCCGTCCCCCCGGTCCTGATCCATAACATTAGATACGGGCAAAGTCTGTAAACATTTGCACTGATCTTTGTTAGTTTTTCTTTGCCCTGTCCCCTTCTTCTCATTTGTTTATATTAGCATCCCACCTGCTACAGGATCTTGTCTGTTGGACATGGTTATTTTTCTGTTTGATCTCTCTTACCGTTATTTATATAAACAAATAATTTATCAAAAAGGAAACATTTTAAAAGCATCTTGTCTTGGAACTTGTTTACCTTGAAACTTATTGGAATCTAAATGTTTGAAACGTGTTGAAGCACAAACATGTATCATCTCTGTAGAGCTGTATGAAAGCACTCGAGTCAATAAATAAATATGCTCCCATACATGGTGCAACGGGCCGCCTGGCCTGTCTTCTTTTCGGGGGGGTTGGTTAGCGCATGAAAGAGCGGACCCTGCCCCCACGCTCTGGAGCAGACCTGGTTGCAGAACAAAGGATGGACAATCGTGCAACTATTTTTGTACTTTTTTCCCCTTTGGGGCGGGTCACGTTTTGATCCACTTTGATCCCTTGCCTTAAAAAAAGGCAAAACGTACCGATGCCCTCCATTCCCCCAGGCCCTAGGAAGCCTGGAAGCGTGTCTCTCTTGCCCACAGAAGATGGTCCAATAAGAGATACGACCTCACCTGTCTTGTTTCTCAAAGAGCCTGCGACTGACACGGCTACACCCCCACTGCCCTCTCTCCCCCCACCTCCTGACTCCTCATTTGTCAGGGACAGTCACAATGTCGACAGAAGAACATGGCAGACTCTGAAGACTTGCAGCAGCTCTATGCTTTGCAGAGCTTTCTCCTGGGAATGCAGGCTTGGCCACGCTGAGTAAGACCCTTCGTGGCTGCTCTAATAACAACACCTTGCTCTTGTATGGGCCCTTGCCTCAACAGATCTGTACAAGGGAGGGCCGTGTCATGCGATGGGGGACTGGGGAACAGAGAGAGACCCCGTGTCCTGCCACCGTCACCCAGCAGGTCAACCGAGACTAGAATCTGTCTCTCTAGAGTCTCCCTGGGATGGCCAACCGGACACTAAGAGCCAAAACAGCTGTGGATAGTAGTGCAAAAAGCCACACACCCCTCCCCCAGCCTTCCCCCCCACTCCAACCCAATGCACCCACCCCTCCCCCAGGGTCAAGCACCCCTAGGTCCCCCACTCTAACCCAATGCCCTCTGCTTCCCCCACAGCCAAGCAGCCGCAGAGTCTTTTAATTTTTTAGTAGCACGCTGGGTCTCACTGGAGCCTCCGCTGCCGTTCCAGCCACATGCTTCTCCCCCACTCCAACCCAATGCACCCACCCCTCCCCCAGGGTCAAGCACCCCTAGGTCCCCCACTCTAACCCAATGCCCTCTGCTTCCCCCACAGCCAAGCAGCCGCAGAGTCTTTTAATTTTTTAGTAGCACGCTGGGTCTCACTGGAGCCTCCGCTGCCGTTCCAGCCACATGCTTCTCCCCCACTCCAACCCAATGCACCCACCCCTCCCCCAGGGTCAAGCACCCCTAGGTCCCCCACTCTAACCCAATGCCCTCTGCTTCCCCCACAGCCAAGCAGCCGCAGAGTCTTTTAATTTTTTAGTAGCACGCTGGGTCTCACTGGAGCCTCCGCTGCCGTTCCAGCCACATGCTTCTCCCCCACTCCAACCCAATGCACCCACCCCTCCCCCAGGGTCAAGCACCCCTAGGTCCCCCACTCTAACCCAATGCCCTCTGCTTCCCCCACAGCCAAGCAGCCGCAGAGTCTTTTAATTTTTTAGTAGCACGCTGGGTCTCACTGGAGCCTCCGCTGCCGTTCCAGCCACATGCTTCTCCCCCACTCCAACCCAATGCACCCACCCCTCCCCCAGGGTCAAGCACCCCTAGGTCCCCCACTCTAACCCAATGCCCTCTGCTTCCCCCACAGCCAAGCAGCCGCAGAGTCTTTTAATTTTTTAGTAGCACGCTGGGTCTCACTGGAGCCTCCGCTGCCGTTCCAGCCACATGCTTCTCCCGCTAGGCGCTGGGGTGCATGCACAGAGTGGCCAGCCGAGATCAGGCAGTAGGGTGCCTTGCACAGAGTTGTGTGTTTTAAAAAAGCTGGGAAAATGAGGACCCGGCCGCATGGTAACCCTAAGAGCCGCATTTCTCCGAGCAAAGAGCCGCATGTGGCCACCATGAGCCCCTGCCACGGGCTGGCCACCCCTGCACTAGGGAGTTATTTCAAAATAACCCCCCTGATTCCGAAATAAGAAGCTGAGCAAGGCCATTATTGCAAACTAATGGTCTGGATATTTTAAAATCTCTTGCTTTCCTTGGGGAATAACACTTCCTTCACAATAGTTATTTCGAAATAATGGTCGTTGGCTCCGGAAGCCACCTGCGCTGCAGCTGGGCATTTCAAATGTAGCAAGAGCCCGGTGGTTCTTACAACATTTAAAAAACAGAGGCGCAGCGTGAACTAGGACTGCTTGGTCCCGGCTCGTGCCGAGTCCAGCAGCCCCTGTTCACGGTGGCCAGGGCGGTTTCAAAACACACTCGACATAAGGTCACGGAAAGGCACCTTGAGCTCATCTAGGGAGCAGTTCTAGAGCCGGGGGCCTGCTAAGTCACAGCGCCGCACCCAGGAGCCGCTAGAGGGCTCCTCACTCCACCCTCCTGCAGGCTGCACTGAGGCCGCTCAGCTGATCCCAGCTGGCTGGAAAACTGACAAAGGAAACTGCTTAGAAGCACGGAAGGGAAGTTTTGCCGCTTCCCCTGCTCCCACTCCCGTTTTCCAGCCAACTCCCGGCTGTTTTGCAGGTGGAAGGGGCTGGAGGGTCAATGCCCACGGGGGTTGTGGTTGTTTGGGATCAGAGGTGAGGCCAGGAGGGGCTTAGCTCTCTAATACACACCCCTGGGGCTGGGGAAAGGGGCTGTAGGAATCTTCCCAGCTCTACAACAGATGCCGTGGCCACGCGCTCCAAGTTGGGTCCTTGGCCCTTTAATGCTCTGAGGTGCAGGGGTGCCCCAGTTGAATGGGGTCTGGCCCAGACTGAGGGAGTCATAGTGCAATCAGCTTAGCCACATTTCAGGCCCCTTGCCCCACCCCTACTCACCCAAGGGCTGGTGGCGGCCTCAGGCTATCCCTGCAGCAATCGTAAAGGACCCTGAGAGGAAGGAACGTTGCCACCCCGAGCTCTCGGCGTCCCGGCACTCGGACTGGGACAGTGGGGCGGGTCACGCCATCATGGCCCTCTTCTGTTCATTCCCCTTGAAGCATCTGGCACCGGCCGCTATCGGAAGACGGGATGCTGGGCTGGATGGGACCATTGATCAGACCCATTCGGGCCCTTCTGCCCCAGCTGTATATGGGGAAACTTCCATAACCCCTGGCGGCCCCCCACATTTCCAGGCCTGGCTATCTAGGGGTGGCAGTCAAGACACACCATCCCCTGGCTCTTCTGACCATCGGCAGGGTTCTAATGCCCTCAGAGGTGGCAGGGGGGCCTGGTATCCCCCCCCTTTGTCTCCAGAGAGCGTGGCTTGTCAGGAAACGGTGGCTGCACGGAGGACGGTGGGGTCTATGGGAAAGTCTCTAAGACGGTCCAGCCAAGCCCTGACGGGCCCAGGAACCCAAGCACCACAGGCTGCTTGGGGG